TTGCACTCAGTCACGGATTGTAGGCCAGCGGAAGTTATCCATGCCAGCAGCGACGAAGTCAACTCGGCTATTAGAGCCAAGATTGACAAGGCGCAACAGACCAACCTCGACAGAATCAACGCTTCAAGACAAAACAGAGTCTTCGAAGTTGGGGAAAAGGTCCTCTTGCGCAATAATAAAAGACTCGGAAATAAGCAAACGCCGCTCTATTCACAAGAGCGCATAGAAGCAGACCTAAAAACGTTTGTTCTCATTAAAGGGATGGTGGTCCATAAGGACAATATCAAATAAACATCTCCACTATCCATACTCGCCCTTATGTTATGCAGAACTCAATATTGCTACAATCTCCACATGCTTGCCGTGATACTCACCTTACTGCTGTCCATAGCGAACGCGCGAATCACCGACTTCTCTTACGCAAAGTATATTCCGGTATTTGATGGGAATGTCCTAGTATGGGAACAATATGGCCTGGTTAAGCACTCGACTAATTTGTCTGAGTTCTCCAGCATAATTGACTCTACGGTCAGAATGCTCGTGCTGTTCCCACAATCGCACATGAGGAAGCTACTGGAAGTTGACGTCAACCATGCCCAGAACATGCTGGATGAATTAACCGTGCACCATAGAATGGCCAGGAGCTTAGATTTCCTGTGCTCGGCACTCAAGGTCGTGGCAGGCACACCCGACGCGGAGGACAAACTTACAGATACAGTAAATAAAATTGTCAAGGAAAAAAGGGACGGGTTAGTTGACTTCGGCCACCTTTTCGAAACACTTCTAGCCACGGAATAAATTCCTTATTTCAGAATTACAAAATTGCATGCTCACAGTCACACTTGCCAAGAATAACATTATAAATCCGGTTATATTTAATCACAACGACCTTAAATCTATCTTTGACGAACAGCTCACGGAGGTCCCCATAGTTAGTCTTATGGTTGTATCTAAGATAAAAATTTTTCAATCTAATGTTTTTATCCATGTCATAGTTCAGTATCCTAGAGTTAAGCTTATTTGTAAAAAAGTCCTGCTCTTCCCTGTCGCACACTACCATACTATGCTACAAATAGAAGACAACATCGTGGCGGAATGTGATGACGGAATCCTAGCAGTCTCCGATTGCGCTTCTACCAACTTGGCCACGTTTTGCAAAAAGGCGTCCCACGACACTTGCGCCAGGCAATTACATGCAGGCGTGGCTGCTACATGCCGGACGAAGCCCAGCAATCTGGAACCCCTTACAATCGTGGACGACGGAGTAATAATCGTCAACGAAAAACTTACGAGGATTACCATAGATGACGGTCCCACAACAACCATAACAGGGACCCACCTTATTACTTTCGAAAGGAAGGCGGTGACTAACGACTCCGTGTATTTAAACCTCAATTACTCCGTGAAAAAGAGCCCGGGAATCGTGGCCTCTCCCTTAATTAACATCACGGGACACGATCACATACTAAGTCTGCCACTACTACAACGGATGAACGAGCACAACCTGCGTCTGATGCAGGAGCTCAGAGATGACGTGTCGGCTGGAGGTGGTCTAAGGATTTGGTTCGCCGCGGGAGTCGCCGTCAACAACACTGCAGGCGCAAACGAGAGGCATCCCAATTACGAAAGTCCATCGACGAATTGGCTGTCACCGAGGAGGGCGTCTAATTTAAGGGGGGAGTAGTTAACAACCAACTTCCAGCTTAGGCTGAGCAGGCCAATTCATATTCCCTTTATTAATATTAATCATTTTTATTATTATTATTATTACACTTCTTATACCACTCATGTATGGTCTATCTTAATTTTGGGTCCACCCTAATGGGTCCGAGAGCTGAGCCAACATATTGTGCCATTATGGGCCGTGGCTTTGTCTCATTGGCTGGCAGCAATCGTATGACTTCTGCAAAATGTGCATGGTCAGCGGTCTGCCACGGGCATCCGGTCATACATGAGCTTTTGTTAATTCTTAAGTTCAGTTCATATTTGGTATTCAATAAATTAAGAGCACCAGCTCCTACTAATGAAACTCCGGCACTTAGCCGTTAAATCTTTTATTAACCGATATACCGACTGAGTCTCTATGCCAGCGGTATCGAAGGACAGTTCCCTTCCACCCTAATCTCCCTATCTCAACATAGGAGCAGTACAGCCGACCGGCTACGAATTATTGGAGACAGCAATCTCCCTATCTCAACATAAGAGCAGTACGGCCAACCGGCGACGAATTATTGGAGACAGCGGCGAGGGACCCCACATCGACCGTTCCCCTCCGCTCACACTGCGTTAATTGACGCCCAACTACTGGATAATATTACATACTATTCACCCTTCGAATCTCACCCTGAGGAACATAAAATGTAAGTGACTGTGCGCCTAAGATAGCATCCAGGTCAATACGTGATATTGTAATATTGTAACTCAATACAAGTCAATAAATATCGACAAAATTTTACTCACAAACTTGTGCCAGAGCTAGCAATTTAAACTTAAATTAAATTTTAAAAATACAACAAAATTTGCCCCTCACCTTTTCCCTTGATTATTCTGTGAATATACTTGATTTGCACGTGTTTATTTTTAAATAACCCACAGTGTAGTGAATTCTCTAAAAAAATTGTCCATCGTCGCAAGACCCTGAATTGGCTACAAGTGTTGTCCAACTAAACGTCGTGCGCAAAACGCAAATTTTATCTTTATTTGTCGCCCTTATTACTGCCGATTAACTCACTCAGCCCCGTTTGCGGCCGATGAGTTGGGAATATAGGGAAGTAAAACAAGAAGTAGACAGTGACGATTGTGAAGAAATCGGATTTTGTCCAACAACGACACAACCAGACTCATCAGAAATGAACCCAGAATTGATACAAGCGCTCATAACAAATGCCGTCAGCGTCGCGCTAACCGCACAGGAGCAGCGCTGGCGAGCAGAAATTGAATCAGTTAGAAACCAGGTCAGCTCGTTAACTGTGCAGGCACCCCAAGTAGAAGTTTATGAAAAGGTAACACCGGTCCCCACCATAAAGTGCGATGTCAAATTAGACATCGTAAAATCGCTCCCAACCTTTAGTGACAGCCACGATGAATACGTGTCGTGGAGGCAGGCCGCATCAGATGCGTATGAGGTATTCAAGAAATACAATGGCAGCGAGGCCCACTATGAAGCATGGCCCACTATGGTTATTATCAAGAACCAAATTTGCGGTAACGCACGATCGCTCCAAAAGACCTTCCGTCTGCGCTAGCGCTAGCGCGGGAGGCCGAAAATAGCATTGAACGAAGTGCATTCGCGGCTTCCTACGCGAAGGCCATAGAAAACAAGTCCCTTGTCCACGATGGCAACAGGCGTAACCATAAATTTAAGGGAAAGCAATGGAAAGGAGAGGATAAAAATCCACACTTCGTTCCGAAACAAAGCCAAAGCAAGCCCCAAGAGGACAGCCCCTGGCAGAAACGCGGGGACCCCGATGTTGTAGACCATAACAAAGTAAATCCTATGGAGATCGACCCTTCGACATCCAAGTTTAGGCAGGAGACTAGTTGGGGAAAGCCTCAAAATAATAGCAATCACAAAAGACAGAACTCATCTCAGCGTTATTCGGGGCAAAGACGCCAGCGCGTCAATAACACAACCCAATCTCATGAGCAGGAGGAGGCATGGTACTCCGCCACAGCTGAAACGGAAGTCGCCAGCATTGAAGAAGGTAATGACTCCGACGAACTTAAGGACCTGCTACATTTTTTAGGGAGCGCTCCCGACTGCCGTTCATCGAACGACAGTTGGCTGATAGAACATTAAAAATACTTATCGACACGGGGGCGGCAAAAAATTACGTTAAGCCCATAAAGGAGCTATAAAACGTAATGCCGGTCGAGAACCCCTTTACTGTGAGCTCTATTCACGGCTCCAGTAGCGTCAAGCACAAATGCATGAAGCGCATTTTTGGGCTAAACGCCCTCGCTAACGCGAGCAGGGGTCGCATTGGACCTAGGCAATAGCGTAATAAAATTCGTAAACTCCACGGAGAAACTCAAATTCTTTGACTGCGAAAACGTGAATTTTACAAAAATGGATGACATAGTGGTACCAAGTTCGGCGAAAGCTTAATTCAAAAAAGTTATTCTGAAAAGAATAAAGGTGTTTTCGACCTCTAACGAGGCGCTAACCTTCAACACCTCGGTCATCGCCACTATTCGAACTAAGAGTGACGAACCCGTCTACTCCAGATTATACCCCTACCCCATGGGGGCAGCAGACTTTGTTAACAACGAGATCAAGGAACTGCTGAGCAATGGCATAATCAGGCCTTCCAGATCCCCGTACAACAGCCCTACTTGGGTAGTTGACAAAAAGGGACTGACGATAATGGCATCAGGAAGAAGCGTTTGGTAATCGACTTTAGGAAACTAAACGAGCAAACAATTGCAGATCGCTACCCTATGCCAAGCATTCCCATGATTCTGGCGAACTTGGGGAAAGCCAAATACTTTACTACCCTAGACTTGAAGTCACACCCAAAAAAAAAACCAAAAGTATACACTTAATAAGCGTTGTGTTAAAAGTATACTAAAGTTAGTATAAAAATGTAAGTATTAACTCAACACTAATTAGTTTCAACTGTATACTTTGTAGTGTAAGTGCTCTACCAAAGAGTATAAAGCGTAAACCTGTAGTGTTATTTTTAAACTAGTCATATTTGACTATTTAGTTTATAATTTATACTTTTGGTTTCAACAAAAACTTAATGTAGTATAAAGAAAATGTAGTTTCAAGTTATTACAAAATAGTTTCATGCCAACACTTTATAGTATTAAGCTTATACCAATTATTATATGAGTGAGACTCAGTAGTATAAATAGTATACTGAACATTAAATAGTTTTTCATGGTGTGAAACTAGGACAATAGCGAATATTCGAACATATATTTTGGTGTTAAACCAGGACAATAGCGAGTATACGAACACAGAAAATGCTACCGGAGTTGGCTTTGTTTGACGCGTTAATGATTATTGTGATGATTTATCTCGGTGAGTTTGGTCCCGCATTTTTGTGAATTTTGTGCTGAGTCAACATGTAAGTAAAATATTTGTTCTAAAATTAAAAAAAACCAATATTATATTGTCCCTGTTGGTAAATTTTGTATGTATTGTGTATTTTCAGATGCAAGTGCTTTGCGCACGCGTACAGATGCATAACGCGAAGGAGCTAACGAACTCGACGTACCGCCTTTGTGCTGTCAGAACAGCGAGTGCCTTCCGGACGACGCAGCGCTCGTCATTGCAGGCCAAGTTCCCCTATGTGAACTGGTGCGGGAGCCACAGAACCAAGACCGAGGTGAAGAGGAGTGCCAGGATGCAGAGCGTCGACAACTGGCAGGCAGCCTGGGACAACTCCAGCAAGGGACGCTGGACGCTGGACGCAAGGGTAAATAGGAAGCACGGCCAGGTAGATTTCTACCTCACGCAGGCGCTGAGTGGACATGGTTGCTTCCGAAGCTTCCTTAAGCGCTTCGGACACGACACGGAGAACGGTTGTCCAGAATCCGGCAGTGGGATTGTTGAGGACGATCAGCATGTCCCATTTTAATGTCACCGCTTCGGGTCTGATCGCCAAATGCTGATGAAGACCACCGGGGCAAGGGTTCGGCCAGCGACGGCAGCCTACGCAGCGAGTGTACTGCGAACGCTGCGTCGCATCGAGAATGAGAGGAGAGAAGCTACAGCCTAGGTGGCTACCATTGCGCTAAGCAATACCTTGCGGTGATACCGCGCAATCACGGCCCCTACTCTTGTTGCTTGTACTTATTTTAGCCTGTACGTGTTAGGTAAAGGAATATAAAAAAAAACACGAAGGAGCTAAAAACATGAGTTTTGTGTTGCGCAAAATATGAATATTTATGAAATAATAACAAAATAATATGTCAAATAGTAATAAAAGAAAAACAACATACAACTTGATTTTATTGGGTTTGGGATACCACGAAAAACAAAATAGTATAAATTTTATACTACAGGCAACGGGGAAATCGTATAAGTTTTATACGAAATAGTATAAAATGTATACTAACGATTTCGATAAATAGCTTAAAAAGTATACTACGGCTCTCTAGATTAGTATAATATGTATACGAAATAGTATAAAACGGAGACTACATAGGATAGCTTTTATACTAAATAGTATAAAAAGTAAACTATCAGCATAAATGTCAGTACACTGAGTGAGTATAAATTGTATACTCGTTAGTTTAACTTTGATAACTTCGAAAGTTTCAGTTTAATACTTTCGGTGTCATAAGGTTAATACGCATCTTATCAAGATATTTTTGACACTCAATAGTTTAGTTTTAATGTACGAATAGTTTAGTTTCTATGATCATTTTTTTTTGGGTGCAGGGTATCATTAGATATACTTGGCCGAGAAAGACCGGGAAAAAACCTCGTTCTCAGTTAACGGAGGAAATCACGAATTTGGCCGACTACCTTTCGGATTAAAAAACGCAGGTAGCATATTTCAAAGAGCCATCGATGATGTGCTGCGGGAAGAAATAGGCAAGATATGTTACGTCTACGTCGATGACGTTATTATTTTTTCCGAAAACGAAACCGAACATATTAAGCACATCGATATAGTGCTTAAGCGACTGCTCGATGCCAACATCATAGTTACTAGAGGAGGAACAAAAGCAGGCCCTGAAAAGTCAGGGCAATACAAGAGTTCCCCGAACCCAAAACTCTGTTTTGCCTCAGGTCCTTCCACGGCCTGGCGAGCTATTATAGAAGCTTTGTCAAGAATTTTGCCTCCATTGCCAGGCCTCTTACTCATATTCTCAAAGGGCAAAACGGAACGGTCAGTAAAAACATGTCGAAAAAAGTTCCTATTACGTTTGATGAAACCCAGCGCAATGCGTTTGACCACCTGCGTAATATCCTGGCATCAGAGGATGTCATTCTGACGTACCCCGATTTCAAATTACCAATCGACCTAACCACCGACGCTTCAGCCAGTGGAATAGGCGCGGTATTGTCGCAGAACAAGAGGACCATTACAATGATCTCGCGTACGCTTAAAGATTGCGAGCTAAATTACGCCACCAACGAAAGAGAATTGTTGGCGATAGTTTGGGCCATATGCAAACTACAGAACTACCTTTACGGCACTCAGGAGGTTCGGATCTTCACAGACCACCAGCCGCTGACTTACGCGGTATCTGACAGAAACACCAACGCTAAGATCAAGCGATGGAAGGCCTTTATAGACGAAAACAACGGGGAGGTGTTTTACACGCCCGGGAAGCAAAACCTTGTAGCCGATGCGCTGTCTCGGCTACACTTGAACAACCTAGAGGTTGATTCTCAGTCCGATGCTGCCACGGTGCATAGTAAGCTTTCGCTCTCATACACCATCGAGACTACGGATAAACCCCTAAACTGCTTCAGAAACCAAATTATTTTGGAAGAGGCAAACAAACCACTTCGGCGAGACTTCATTGTTTTTGGTAATAGAACTCGCCACGTTAATTACTTTAATAACAAAAACCTACTTGTCGAATCTGTTAAAATCATCAACGCCAACGTCGTAAACGCGATCCACTGCGACTTTCCGACAATAGCTTGTGTTCAACATGCCTTGAGGCAGGAGTTTCCTGCAACGAAATTTTGGCACTGTAAAAACTTTGTAACTAACATTACAAATACCAATGAAATGAAATTTCTACCACAAAACTAGAACCATTTATTGTGACAATGAGGCTTCCTTCAATTCTGAAACGATTACGTCTTTGCTGAAAAACCAATACAGCATCGATGTCATTAATGCGCCACCGCTTCACAGTAGCTCCAATGGCCAAGTGGAAAGATTCCACAGTACCTTGGCAGAAATAGCCAGGTGCCTCAAAATCGATAAAAAAATTGATGACACTGTGGAGTTAATTTTGCGGGCTACAGTAGAATACAATAGATGTTGCACTCAGTCACGGATTGTAGGCCAGCGGAAGTTATCCATGCCAGCAGCGACGAAGTCAACTCGGCTATTAGAGCCAAGATTGACAAGGCACAACAGACCAACCTCGACAGAATCAACGCTTCAAGACAAAACAGAGTCTTCGAAGTTGGTGAAAAGGTCCTCGTGCGCAATAATAAAAGACTCGGAAATAAGCAAACGCCGCTCTATTCACAAGAGCGCATAGAAGCAGACCTAAAAACGTCTGTTCTCATTAAAGGGAGGGTGGTCCATAAGGACAATATCAAATAAACATCTCCACTATCCATACTCGCCCTTATGTTATGCAGAACTCAATATTGCTACAATCTCCACAGGCTTGCCGTGATACTCACCTTACTGCTGTCCAAAACGAACGCGCGAATCACCGACTTCTCTCACGCAAAGTATATTCCGGTATTGGATGGGAATGTCCTAGTATGGGAACAATATGGCCTGGTTAAGCACTCGACTAATTTGTCTGAGTTCTCCAGCATAATTGACTCTACGGTTAGAATGCTCGAGCTGTTCCCACAATCGCACATGAGGAAGCTACTGGAAGTTGACGTCAACCATGCCCAGAACATGCTGGATGAATTAACCGTGCACCATAGAATGGCCAGGAGCTTAGATTTCCTGTGCTCGGCACTCAAGGTCGTGGCAGGCACGCCCGACGCGGAGGACCAACTTACAGATACAGTAAATAAAATTGTCAAGGAAAAAAGGGACGGGTTAGTTGACTCCGGCCACCTTTTCGAAACACTTCTAGTCACGGAATAGAATCCTTATTTCAGAATTACAAAATTGCATGCTCACAGTCACACTTGCCAAGAATAACATTATAAATCCGGTTATATTTAATCACAACGACCTTAAATCTATCTTTGACGAACAGCTCACGGAGGTCCCCATAGTTAGTCTTATGGTTGTATCTAAGATAAAAATTTTTCAATCTAATGTTTTTATCCATGTCATAGTTCAGTATCCTAGAGTTAAGCTTATTTGTAAAAAAGTCCTGCTCTTCCCTGTCGCACACTACCATACTATGCTACAAATAGAAGACAACATCGTGGCGGAATGTGATGACGGAATCCACGTGGCCACGTTTTGCAAAAAGGCGTCCCACGACACTTGCGCCAGGCAATTACATGCAGGCGTGGCTGCTACATGCCGGACGAGGCCCAGCAATCTGGAACCCCTTACAATCGTGGACGACGGAGTAATAATCGTCAACGAAAAACTTACGAGGATTACCATAGATGACGGTCCCACAACAACCATAATAGGGACCCACCTTATTACTTTCGAAAGGAAGGCGGTGATTAACGACTCCGTGTATTTAAACCTCAATTACTCCGTGAAAAAGAGCCCGGGAATCGTGGCCTCTCCCTTAATTAACATCACGGGACACGATCACATACTAAGTCTGCCACTACTACAACGGATGAACGAGCACAACCTGCGTCTGATGCAGGAGCTCAGAGATGACGTGTCGGCTGGAGGTGGTCTAAGGATTTGGTTCGCCGCGGGAGTCGCCGTCAACAACACTGCAGGCGCAAACGAGAGGCATCCCAATTACGAAAGTCCATCGACGAATTGGCTGTCACCGAGGAGGGCTTCTAATTTAAGGGGGGAGTAGTTAACAACCAACTCCCAGCTTAGGCTGAGCAGGCCAATTCATATTCCCTTTATTAATATTAATCATTTTTATTATTATTATTATTACACTTCTTATACCACTCATGTATGGTCTACCTTAATTTTGGGTCCACCATAATGGGCCCGAGAGCTGAGACAACATATTGTGCCATTATGGGCCGCGGCTTTGTCTCATTGGCTGACAGCAATCGTATGACTTCTGCAAAATGTGCATGGTCAGCGGTCTGCCACGGGCATCCAGTCATACATGAGCTTTAGTTAATTCTTAAGTTTAGTTCATATTTGGTATTCAATAAATTAAGAGCACCAGCTCCTACTAATAAAACTCCGGCACTTAGCCGTTAAATCTTTTATTAACCGATATACCGACTGAGTCTCTAGGCCAGCGGTATCGAAGGACAGTTCCCTTCCACCCTAATCTCCCTATCTCAACATAGGAGCAGTACGGCCTACCGGCTACGAATTATTGGAGACAGCAATCTCCCTATCTCAACATAAGAGCAGTACGGCCAACCGACTACGAATTATTGGAGACAGCGGCGAGGGACCCCACATCGACCGTTCCCCTCCCCTCACACTGCGTTAATTTACACAGACAAATCGCGCAACGAAATGACGCTCGGGCGAAAAATAATAGCGTGGGTCAAAAGAAAGACCAAACAATTTTCAGAAAAAAAGGGATAACGGAAAATTACCGCGACCACTTTTTATGGCTTGTTTTTTTCCATTAATTTTGTTTTTGTAAAATGTGTACTATCGTCTTTCTATCGCGCAGAAGAGTCTCAGAAGCTACTTCTTCGCGATCCCGACCCTTTTTGTTTTTGCAAAATGTTTACTATCGCCTTTCTATCGTTCAGAAGTGACTTAGAAGTTACTTCTACGCGACACATGTATATTTTGTTTTTGTAAAATGTGTACTATCGTCTTTCTATCGCGCAGAAGTTACTAAGGAGTGACTCCTGGACGACAGGCGATAGAAATATCGCCCTTTTGCTTGCAGGGAGGGAACAGAGATAGATAAAGGCTAAGCAGTGATTGTGTATATTCACGGCACGCGTGTGCGTGTGTATGTGGGCTGCAACGGAGTTGCTCGTCCGCTTAGATGTGTGTATGTGGGCCACGGCACGTGGTTGCAAATCGCTGTTTGGGAGAGGGATGAAGAGTTATG